TTAATGTTAATGGCTGGACAGATTTCAATCTTGAGCTAAGGAAACATATCATCACATTCAATGATAGTGACATAATCTGTATAAACGAAACTCATATTAGTAATGATGATATCATTAGAAACACTTTTGAAAATAAGTACATTTGGTTTGGACACAGGAGGAAAACTGTTCATAAAAAATCGCCAAAAGCATATGGTGGAGTTGGAATGTTTGTGAAAAGGAATTTAATTGACATTTATAACATAGAAGTAATAGATAAACATTATGATGGCATACTTGCTATTCAGTTCATTGATAAAATTTCCAAATACACATTTATAATTTATTGTACATATCTTCCACCGGCAGAATCAGTTTATGGCAGAAATGCTGATGGATTTTTTAATCATTTGACATCTCTCATATATCTGTATTCCCAATCATGCGATGCTTATTTTATAGTTGGTGATTTGAATGCACGTATTGGGAATAAAGATGATTATATACCCCAAATAGATAGTATTTTAGAGAATAATAAACGTAGGAATTTAGATAGTGTTTCAAATAGTCATGGAAATAGCCTATTAGAATTTTTAAAAGATACAAAAATGTGTATTGTTAATGGGCGTGTAACCAGTGATTTAGATAATTTTACATGTTGTAGAACGCAGGGTAAATCTGTCGTAGATTATTTTATTGTACCGCATGACATTTTAAGCAACTGCAAGCAATTTCAGGTAAAATTGTGCACCGATATTATTCAGGAACTTGACATTGAACATTTGTTGAACGATAGATGTAAGTCACCTGACCATTCATTATTGTCATTAGAATTTTGTATTCAAATTCAAGTAAATGATGAGGATGCTTCATTTTCTAAGCATTTAGAAGATGATACAGATGCTATTGATAGTAACACTAATGATTATAGTTATTATAAGGGTGCAATTTATAATACACGTAATATGCCAGCAAACTTTATGGAATCACATAGGCTGAAAAATATTGTTTTAGACTGGATTCAAAAGATTGAGCATCATAGAAATGATCAAGATTGCATTGATGGTGAATATGATAGTCTATGTACAATTATATTAAAAGAAATGAATGATAATTTAAAAAAATTTGGAGCTTTTTGTCATAAAAAATATAAAAAATCGAAACCTTATTGGACAGATGAACTTAGCGTACTATGGAAAGATATGCATGAAAAAGAAAAGCTTTTTTTGAAATGTACAGGTAGACAGCATATGAAAGCAATGTATAGAAATGATTTTAAATATGCAGCCAAATTATTTGATAAACAGCTCCGTTTTGCAAAGAGAAAATATGATAGGAATATACTTGAATCAATAGAAAAGGCCAATGATAGCAATCCAAAGGAGTTTTGGAACTTTATAAAAACAACTGGCCCGAAACGTAAGAAATGTATTCCTCTTGAGGTATTTGATGATAATAGTAATTTAGATTATAAAGTAGAATCTGTAATTAAAAAATGGGAAAATGATTATAAGAAGTTGTACAGTGTAAATAGTTTAAATTTTGATAATCAATTCTATAAAACTGCTATGGAGCAAAAAGACTCGTTGGAAAATGCTTGTCAAAATGATACTTCGTCAGATGAGGCCATATCGTTGAGTGAAGTTAGTTTGGCCATAAATGCATTGAAAAATTTCAAAACTGTAGGATATGATTTAATTCCCAATGAAGTATTGAAATATGAAGTAATAAAAAGGGCACTTTATGTATTTTTCAATAAGTGTTTTGATTTAAGCATTATCCCTAGCGTGTGGTTAAAAGCTATTGTATTCCCTATTCCTAAAGGAGGTGACAAAGATCCACGTATACCTCTTAATTATAGAGGAATAAGTATGCTTTCATGTATCTACGTATAAGCTGTATAGCAATATTATCAATAAACGACTTGTTATGTTTTGTGAGGATAACGCTTTACTTGAGGATTCCCAGAATGGTTTTAGAGCCAATAGATCCTGTATTGACCATATATTTTCATTAGACAGCATTATACGTAACAAAGTAGAAAAGAATGGAAATATTTTTGCTTGTTTTATTGATCTAGAGAAAGCGTATGATTATTTAAACAGGGATTTGCTACTTTTTCAGCTGTTAAACAATGGTGTTAAAGGTAAAATGTATAAAGCTATTAAGGGATTTTTGATAGGGACCCAGTCTGCTATAAAAGTTAATAATTTTATGACCAGTTGGTTTCCTACAGAGTCTGGTTTGAGACAAGGAGATACAATTTCTCCAATATCATTTTCAATATACATAAATACACTTTTAAAAGAATTAAACTCAAGTCCATATGGTGTGAAGATTGAAGATTCCAAAGTGTCAGTTTTAGCATATGCTGATGATTTAGTCCTGTTAGCAGAAAGTGAAGTGAGTTTACAGAAGCTATTAGATATTGTGAATAAATGGGGTTTTAAATGGCGTGTCAAGGTTAACATGTCAAAAACTAATATTGTGCATTTTAGAAAATCAAAAACAAAAAGAACTAATTTTAATTTTAAGCTAGGTGATGTAAGTGTTAATATGATCGATCAATACAGATACCTTGGTGTTATATTTAATGAAAATTGTAAGTTTGAAGAAGCTGTAAAAATGCTATCTGACTCAGCAGGTAGAGCTCTAGGTGCTCTAATTAATAAGTGCAAGTTTAATAGAGACATAGGATTTAATACTTTTACAAAATTATTTAAAGCTTGTGTATTGCCAGTGCTACATTATGGAGTCGGAGTATGGGGAGCACATGATTATTTAAAATATTGTAATTTAATTTATGATAGAGCACAAAGGTATTATGCAGGAGTACACAAATTTGTGCCTTTACATGCTTTGCATGGAGATTTTGGGTGGACACCTTTAATTTTAGAACAGCAAATTGAATTAGTTCGATTATTTAACCGCCTATCATGGCTGGAAGATGGGAGACTGACAAAGAAAATATTTTTATGGGACATTAAATGTAAGAGTAAATGGTCTCAAACTGTAAAAAGCATTTTAGAGAAATGTAATCTTACTGAACATTTCAATGATATGACATATTGTGATACAAAAATTGTGCTAAAAAATCGTATGGATGATTATAAAAATAGATGGCCAGATATGGTTAGTTCAAAACCAAAGTTAAGGACTTATGCAACTTTTAAAAATAATTATGAAACTGAAAAGTATTTGACATTGAATTTAAGTAAATATGAACGGTCACTTTTAGCACAATTGCGTATGGGTATTTTACCATTAAGAATAGAAACGGGTCGTTTTAAGAATGAAAAACTAGAAGAAAGATTATGCTGTTTATGTGAACAAAATTGTGTGGAAGATGAGATACATTTTGTGTTTCATTGCCATTTTTATAATGAAATTAGACAGAGGTATTTTATTGATAACAATTTTAAATGTATTGACACAAATGTAGAAAAGTTAAAGTACCTGTTTGGGAAAATGACAAGACAATTTGCTCATTTTGTAAGGGAGTGCTTTGTCAAAAGACGTAACCATATGTATAACACAGATTGATATTTATTTCACTAATTGTATAATTTAAAATGTTTAAACTTGTTAAGTGGTTGATAAGCCCAGGTGGGCTGGGTTGATTTGTGTAACCTACCACTATAAAGAACAATAAACTTATCTTATCTTATCTTATGAGTTGTCTCACTATGAGAGGCATAACTCAGGGCTTCTATATGTTGTATTTGTGATGGTATTCGACTGCAGGGAAATATGTCTACTGCTTGAGATAATTTATAACATATTAAATAATACATTTTGATGTCGCTTGCGATAGATAGTAACGTAAATTGCTCTGTAAGTCGTGATCACAATTTTGAAAGATGGGCCTGCTTTTTAATATGCGTCCTTGGGGCAATATGGTACATTAAAATCATAAAAAATAAAATTACAATAAAATAATTCTACTCAGACGCTAGTGGTTCTCACGCCTGTGCATGTGTCCTAGGTTCAAAGTACATGCAGCAAGCCAAAACATACCATTTTATTCATAGCGTCCCATGTCTTTTTTATCGGGAGCATTTTTGCACAGGTCCCATCCCATGCGGTACCGGGTCAACGTAGCTTAAGTTACAGACATTAGATTTTGCTCCTATTTTTTACACCGTATCACTTTGATCGATGCTATAATCATCCAAGTGCAATATGAAGAGGATTGACCGACTGGTTATTACAAGATAAAAATGTCTCTTACCCACCCAAAATGTGTATGAGACAATGATAAAAAAAATAGAAAAAAGAAATTTCAAAAAGAAATACTTTTCTTGGGGGAGGGTTAGTCAAACGGGGGTGCGGTCGCACCCATCGCACCCCCCCCCCCTCATCTGACGGCCCTGACTATCTACATGGAGGATCCATCAAAATGATGAATGCTAAATGCTAACGAATAGTTTAGTCCCTTCTGATAAAGTTACGTCAGAGTCTTCGTGATAAAAAGGAAATATCCTCTGATTTGTACAAGAAAGTATACCCATCATCTGTGACAATTTTATGGTCTACCGAAAGTACAATTTGGCAAGGTACCTTGTGGACACTTGAAGCCATTAGTTGGGAAAAATGGTTATAGCATTAAGAATACTGAAGACATTGTAAAGTAAAAAATTACAACGTTGAGGAAACAGAGTGTACTGTAACTTTTGAAATTTTGTCTTAAAACCACTTACTTCATTCGTGATAACCAATTTTATATTCAAAAAGAAGGTGCAGCAATGGGATCGCCCCTATCGCCTATCATAGATAGCGAATTTGTTCATGGAAAATCTTGAATAAAATGCCATTGAACATGGTCCAATTTTGGTCACTTAATATTTTTTTGGGATAAGACCTCAGTAGTAGGAACGCGCTGATATTGTTCACCATAACGACAGCACGACCCCAGCACGAACTTTGTGACCTTTGACGACTTCCAAACGTTTTCCTGACGTCAGAGTTGACTTCCGGGGATGTCTGATACTCTGATTGGACGCTTGACTTCCGGAGTGACGTCAGTGTGGATTTTCTCGGATGAGACGCTCTGATTGGTCAAATACAATAATATTAATGATACAGTTAAATAAAAGTGTAAAACCATTTTAAGTCAAATGTGTAAATATGAAGTTTGCAATCGATTCAGGTCATACTTTAAATTAAAATAATATTGTGACACTCCTGTTCGTCATGTGTCCTTACCTGGTACCTTGATCTTGCTTGTAGTTGAGAAAATCCTATATAATTACTTTGTATTTAGGTTCAAATTCACTAAACTGTTTTGATTTTTAAAAGACAGGTATCAATAAGGTGAACTGAGTTCAACATTGTTTTTCTCTTAACCCATTATTGAAAACATTCTGTAAAAAAACACGGTCCTTTGTGAAATGGTCACTGATAGACAACAATTTAATGCGAACATTATTTAAATATTTTTGTATAACTGTTTTTGTTTGCGTTTTTTGTTTTTTAGAGCAATTTTTTTTTGTTCCTTTCTACCAATGCTTGTGAATGAAATTAAATATCTTTCCGAAGTTTTGTGGAACAAAATAGCAAATACAACATTTTCTTAGACCTCTCAATATTATAGTTATACAAAGGAAATTATGCTTGATTTTGCAAAAGGTGTTCAAAAAATTAAAACAAAAACCTAAAAATGGATAAAAATTGAAGTAAACCTTTTATTTCACTACGGTAGTCTAATTCAAAAAAAACGGCGATACATCATTTTTGATAACAAAAATTAAACAAAACTTTTGGTGGTGAAATATTTACTGTAGTCACACATTGACTTAACATGACTAACATTTTAACAGGACATGCGTAATCTGGCAGACTTTTCGGCAATCGAATATTTCATTTTGAATTTTAGAATGAGTAAATACCAATGTCTAGGATCCAATTGAATTGAATGTACTGCATGAATGTACTCAATGTTACACAAAGGATGGCTGTTATGTTATCATGGGCTTTCCAGAACCCATGCTGCTATATAAGAATGCTAATTTACGCAATGCGTCGGGACAGCGGAGATTCCTGATCGGTACCATGGAATACATCTTTCCAGGCCTTCTATTACGCTTATGCAAACAAATGGCTTGGATTCACGTGTAGCACGAGTTGACACACACTTTTTACGTCTACTGTGCGTTAAACCACGGCTAGAGAATCTTTCACTGACTAAACAGAAAGCCAAAAACCACTCGATTAGATACTTTGCATCGATCGTGAGAATGAGGTCATGTTTTACTCGAGTCTCTGGCCAAATTACTTGGCTAGAAGACGTTGCATCTGGAACACCCTACTACCTAAAAGAGTTTTGTGCACGAAGAAAATCAAATTTAAAAACTATTTTAAAAATCGTAATGATAATATTTCATCAATTAGAATTAATTAGAACACTGTCCTTTGTGAGATATTGCATGCTTTCGTCCAGGTTTCGTCTAAAATGAAAATCACCGGGCAGCCATTTCAACTAATATACTGATCACTTCCTATTAGTTTCGGATTTTTCTATTAAGTAAAAAAGCCAAAACCCGCGATTCAAATTCTTATGTGGAAAAATGGCGGCTTCAGAATTCAAATTTTGCGATCACGACATCAGCACGACATGACTCACATCCGGTAGAGTAAAACATGTAGGGATTTATCTCTGATGGAAGGCCACGTTATAAGTGGCCTTAGACGAAGGTAAGTCACGTTGGTTCCATGCTTCGATTTGCATAAATAGCCAACATATATGAATAAACGATTATGAACATGTTGCAAACATACTTCGGCACCGAATGCGCCACATTCATGCTTCCCTTATACTATCTGAATATGTTAATGTTTCTTCCGCTCCTGGCCCGTCTGCAGTTAAAATAGCCGCAATATGTATCGGGATTCAATAAAACTATAGCTCGGGTCACTCACTTGCTCGAGCAATATCCTTAACTAAGGATATTGATCACCTGGGGTGGAACTACGCATGATCGACACACTTAAATGACCTACCTCGATACATTCCTGAGTCGGAATGGGGAACCCCCTTAACTTGCAGAGCCCGGATGTACCAATAGATGGAATTCTTCCATCTATCGGTACACCCGGGCTCTGCAAATGAAGGGGGCTCCCCTTCCGACTTCTTCCGACATCTTGAAAAGTGCTAATATATTACCGATGTAAAACGAAAATCTCTTCGTTCTGCCGATAAACCAATACAATTGGTGATTCAAGTGCATAAAAAGAATTGAATCCTAAAATACTTGAGGAATGTAGCGAGGTAGGTATTAGAAGTGTACAATGCGTAGTATATTCTCCAAAATTGTAGAAACACTGCCTGACCAATTGTTGAAACGCACGACCACAGTTCTAGACGAAGTGGGGTCGAAGAATGCGATAATTTCCCAATGTAAAGGATCCATAGCACACTATAGCGCAGCAATATTTGGACCAATATTTAAGGAGGTGCATTCGTCTTGATTTTTAAAAAAATACAATTTGCTTTCGGGTCGAAAAATGTCTTTCATCACAAGGGGTCAAAATACGTAAATATTTTTATTCGAACTTTTATACATTTTATAATACTATTATTCAAAGCATACGGACAAAAAATTAGATTATCATAATGTAAAATTTTACTATAATTTTACTGTAAATGTTGGTGTTTAATTAGTCTAATTACCCAAGTGTGCTTTTCAGATTTTGTTTAATTTTTCAAATACGAGCCAAGAAGATTTAACAAAACTGTGTGGAATATTTAGGTAATTTATGATTGCGAACATATTCGTTTTCTTACATTTTATTACCAAAATTTATCCATATCATCGCAAGAGGTCAAACAATAGACAATAACAAATAGGTAATCTATAAGAGCCACATGCAATCGAACGCCTTACAATTATTCCTCGACGTTACTGCTGGCTATTGTCACATTTTCTGATTGTTATTTCTTTTTTTGACATTACTACTGGTTATCATCACATTTTAGGAACATAATGATGACGATTTTTCTCGAAGATTCTATATCTAACTACGGGAAATATAATTTTAGCTGTCGTCGCAATTGCCAATTAGTCAAGGAAGAGCAATAAGCCCTCCTTTGTTTATAATGTACACCCTGGAATAACAGTCCATATCTCAAAATGTATTGAGACCCATTTTTGAAAAACTAGCATAATTTTAGCATTTGTCATTCTAATATAAAAGTGATTCATTTGAACCATTTGTCTCATTGATATCTGAGAAACAATACAAAACGTCGATGCACTAATTACATAATTTTTGTATTAATGAGAAATATAACCTCAAACTCATGGCTTAGAAACCTAAATCATATATTTAAAATCATTTGGTATTATTTTCTGTCGCATTGTTTACTTTTAATTGTGAAAAAAGAGATTTTAGTTTTTGGTAATTTTTTGACCTCTGCTAATGACATGCTTAATTCAGCCTAAAAGCCGGAAATATCAAGGGCGTTACAATGCCCGGGAATAAATCGTTTCGTGCAGTACATGTTTGTTATAGCGCCCTCTTTAAGGCACTGCGCTGATTAAGTGATTATAGGCTGTGTATACGGGGTAGGCCATGGGAATTTGGTGCTGTTTCTTTCCGTCGATTACGCTATGAATTGAAGCAAGAGTGACCACTTTATCCATTTAAATAACTTGACAATTGATTAAATCTTCAAATAAAATCGATAAACGTGTTATACGTACATTTCCCATCTCTCGAGAAATTAGCATGTATTTATCGGATGTGTTTTCGCACGATGCTCGACCCAGGGCGATGGGGAATTCCTTATGTTAATTTAGTATGACGTCATATTTTCCTGGGAAATCCTAGATTTCAAAAACTCAGTCTTTTATTCGTGTCAAATGCAAACGTTCTTTAGCAGACATCAAATTGACAGATTAGCTTTTAACTTTCAGGTATGATGTATAAATATTCTATATTTCTACCGGACTTCTTGTTGAATATCATATAATGTAATAACTTGATTTGGACCATTGCCTGATTGATCTATTCTGAAATTTTGATTGTGATCATGATTAATTGGCAAGAATTATGTTAAATTCTGCAACGCCCCCCCCCCCAGGATACTTACTTTACCCCCGGTGATTGTAAGTGATGTATGCCTAGAGGTCCCGCCGGAGGTATGCTAGGTTGGGGCCATCACATACACAATTATGTGACAATACACACATCATGAAGATAGGAACACACCCAGGCTTCAGGCAATGGATGGAAATATAAGTACTATTTAGGGCACAAAATGGTATTTAATAGACCAATATGTAGTGTATCCGTCATGTATTGAAGGTAAAACAATCTGCCTTATTGCTACTTCTATCAATACATGGATTGTACAATTGAAAAGCAATGGCACAATCAAAAATTTGCATATCAATCGTGAATATCTCTCGGTTCAAAGCTTATTTCCCACAGAATCGTGTCAAAATATGTGTCTGAGTGACAGTTATACATTATAAGATCGCAAACTCTTACCAATTATCCGTCGAATGGCTGGTATTTAACGAAATGTCCTTAAGACATCAGCCCTGGGTCGCGCCTAGTGACGAAAATAAGCTTGAATGTCTCTCCTCTAATAATTATTGGATAATCACATTTATGCGTGCGCGCGCAGTTGCACTGAACGAACTGAGACTTCCCGGGTATTGATCTTTCCCTTGGAAATATATTAAACGGTAATAATAAAATGATGTTAATATTAGGTATAATATCGCTGCGCTATAATGTGCTTCAGCTCCTTTATTGGACGTCCTAGAGATTTCATACAATGGACTATTTGTCATGGGTTTGTTTTCAATGTTTCTCCTTGTTGATGTGCTTTGAAATACTGTTTTGACTCACCGCAAGGAAGGTTATTGCAACCAATTGATCTTGTTTCAATAGAAACCCCCGGACATCCTGAACCCAATGATTGTTTCGTTCGTTTTCTGCTTCCGTACGAGGGTTGCATTGCACAAGGATAATGATGTAAATTGTTAATTGAACAGTATTAATTTTCACCAGTTTTTCTGGATATCAATTATTCAAGACCGAGTGCTTGTATAGGTAACGTATTTTGGTTATTTGGGGTTTGTTTTTGTCATGGGTTTGTGTTCAATGTTATTTTGATGTGCTTTGAAATATTGATTTGACTCACCGCAAGCAGGGTTGTAGGTGTAAAGACAAATTACATATTCTTCTTCAATAGACAACCCCGGACATCCTGAACCCCCTGGTAGTTTCCTTCGTGTTCTCCTTCTGTCCTGCCTTCCAGCCCCACATGTTGAAGAACATGACCCATATGAACTCCATGAACTCCACTTGCTCCAATGACAACCTATAAAATCATTCATTTCTAAATTGGCCAATATGAAATGAGTCGTTGATTAAGGAAATTTCGTAATTAGGTTCAAAGAGTCATTGAAACACTATTATTCCTTACAAGGAGGGTTGCTGCAATCCACATATCCTGTTTCAACAGAAACCCCTGGACATCCTGAGCCTCCTGGGAGTTTGCTTCGTGTTCTACTTCTGTACTTTCTTCCACCAGTCCCACATGTTTTAGAACATGACCGATATTGCCATGAACCCCATGCGCTCCAATGACAACCTATAAAACCATTCATTTCTAAATTGGCCAATATGAAATGAGTCGTTGATTCAGGAAAATTTCGTAATTAGGTTCAAAGAGCCATCCTATTTCTAACACTATTATTCCTTACAAGGAGGGTTGCATTGCACAAGGATAATGATGTAAATTGTTAATTGAACAGTATTAATTTTCACCAGTTTTTCTGGATATAAATTATTCAAGACCGGGTGATTGTATAGGTAACGTATTTTGGTTATTCGGGGTTCGTTTTTGTCATGGGTTCGTTTTCAATGTTTCCTCTTTTTGATGTGCTTTGAAATATTGTTTTGACTCACCACAAGCAAAGCTGTTAGTGTTGCGACACTCCACATATCCTTTTTCAATAGACAACCCCGGACATCCCGAACCCCCTGGTCGTTTCGTTCGTGTTCTTTGTCTGTTCTTCCGTCCAGTTCCACATGTTTTAGAACATGACCCATATTGCCATGAACCCCATGCGCTCCAATGACAACCTATAAAATCATTCATTTCTAAATTGGCCAATATCACTGGCATGTAGCGATTTAAGCGATACTGGATACTTTACTGAATTGTGTCGAAGTTAGACGTGTGGTGCGGAAGTTAATATGCAGATGACCATCATTTCAATGTTATGTTGTTTGTAGGCAAATTGAGATTAGGCCATTGGAGTATTTGTTTCACGCATACATAAAGCCTAACGCATTCAAGGGTCACATTTATCATTAAACCAATAACTCAAACATATGACCTTGTACACCGACCACCTCTTGAAATCAATGCAGGCCGATTTCAACGAATGCAAACGGTGATATATAAAAGAAACATAATCAAGCATGACCACGTCCCAACTTCTTTTGTTTTCTTTACAACTAAGCTATGACTGCAGTCTATTCAGTGTTGCGTATCGAACCTTGTTTATTATAAAAATAGTGCAACAACAAGCAGAATTCACACATTTACCTATACTTATTCTCAATTGAAGACATTGAATTTATCTCTTAGGTTTTACATTATAAATATCTTAACATGCAGAATACGAAAATAGAGGCTTAGGCCCAACTTTGTATGGATTTTATGAAAATAATCTGATTTTAGAGAAATGAAAAGAAAAATGTCCACACCCTACACAAAATATTTATGGTTCCCCGGGAATACGTATGTGTTGCTTCTATATTAGAATCGTATTCCAATTACAGAAAGAAGTACATATCATGCTAAACTATATATATATATATTTATCGTCTATTATCCTTTGACAAGTAGAGTAGAGAATAAAAATAAAAAATTTAAAAAATTCAAAAAAGGAAATAAGATTAATTTTTTAGAAAACTACTTGGTATATGATAAAGCAGATATGTGCGGTCGGTTTGGATATGGGGTTTATCCCTCGTGAGATATGCACGTCTACCTTCGGTCCCTATGGTCCATCAGGTAGATATAGAGATTATCCTATATGAGGTTCAGGATATTGGGATTACCCCGAGGCAAATATAATATATCTGTCCGAGGGCCGCAGGTCCCGAGGGAAAATATATTTTATTCCATAATACTACTGTGTGCCCAGGGAAATATGAAGGAATTAAAATCGTATTGAATCGTATTACATGAAAAAATTGTATTGTCCCCGGGAAAAAATCGTATTGGAGCGTATTACATGAAAAAATCGTATTGTCCCCGTGAAAAAAATCGTATTGGAGCGTATTACATGAAAAATCGTATTGTCCCCGTGAAAAAATCTTATTGGAGCGTATTGACCTATTTTTTAGTTTCCCGGTTATTTTATTTATTTATTTTATTTTTCAAACAATGTGCATTTATTAATATAACGTTTGCATTATCCAAATGTAACATTCTAGAGGGATGTATTATGGAATAAATAGGTTATTTCTGGTCAGGATTGAATATGGGTTTTATTCCTCGGAAAATATGATATTGACCTTGGGCAATATGATATTGACACTCGGTTGCTGTGCTCTCGGTCAATATTATATTACCCTTCAGTCAATATCATATTGTCCCTCGGAATAAAACCCATATTCAATCCCACCCAGTAAATAACCTATATTTATCATATGCCAAGTAGAGTTTTAGGGAGATAAGTTGGTAAGATATATCCTGTATCCTGATTTTGAGGTTTCCATATCCAGAACCTCCATATCTCCCGCCATATCTCCCGCTTCGGTGCATATCTTCCCGCTTCCGGTAATGCAATAAAATGACTGTGCATATGAATGATTTGTTTATTTTTACACCTTGTACTATTGAAATGGCCATATGCCCTTGAAAACTCTACTTGGTATAGGAAAGCAGTTATGTTCGGTCGGCTTAGATATGGGATTCATCCCTCGTGAGATATGCACATCTACCTTCGGTCCCTACGGTCCCTCAGGTAAATATGCATATCTCCCTCTGGATAAACCCCATATCCAAGACCTCCCTGTACATAACCCTTATGTATTCCATACCTGATAAGGTTTCAGGGGCATATCAACCGGGAATATATTCCATATCCGGCAAATATTTTTCGTATGTCCCGCTCCGACGGAGCTCCGGGACATATAAATCGTATGTTCTGCTCAAAAAAATGTTAAAAATAAACTCGGAAAAAAAAATTTGAAAAAAATTTGAAAAAAAAAGTTTTGAAAAAAATTTGAAAAAAAAGTTTTGAAAATATTCTGAAAAAAAGTATGCCAAAAAAAGGTAAAAAAAATTTGGGAAAAAAATTGGGGAAAAAATTTTTTGGAAATTTTCTTTTTCATTTTTGAAAAAATTGAAAACAAATTTGGAAAAATTTAGAATTTTTTTTGAAAATGATAACATATTTTGCAAGTAACACACCAGAGCATGTGGGAAACATACTCAAGATATCATATTCATTCGTGGATAAAAATCATATCTCTCATAAATCATAGGATATCCTCTATATCCCATGGTTGCAATGATATAGATCGAATATCACATGATGATATATTTGATATGTGACCAAGATATCATATTTTAGTAAACAATTTACAAACCATCGAATATCACTTTTAAACTATCGAATATCACGTCTTAAAAAGTGATATTCGATGATTTCGAATTTTTTCAAAAAATGAATTTTGAATATTTGATGACGTAAATCAAGATAATTTCTACTCGCATCTTGTCTATTCCACAGGTTTGGGAAAAGTGTACATACACGTCGCACGAAACTGGGGACAATTAGAGTAACATTATGGCGTCAAAATACCAAAACAATACAATGGCCAGTATAGGGCGCAATCAGCATTATAACGTCAAAAACGACAAGCGTTACATTTTGTCAAGTTTAGTCAACCTAAAAATAAGATGCTTTATTCTTATTCAATCCAGGTGAAATTCACAGAGCAAGAAGATCTCAAGGACAATATTTCTAAAATGTTTTTGATTTTTGAAAAACGGTTAGGAAATCCACTCGGGTGTTAGTAAAAATTGCTATGTATGGGATTTGAGGTAAAAAATCGATGCGTTACATTTTTTCAAGTCTCTAAAAGCAACTCTTATTCTCTTATTATTTGAAAAATAAAGAAATCGGTTATTGTTGTGTAAATTTCGCCATGACAATATTGTGTAGTTAAATTTTTTTTGAAATCAGACCTAAATTAGAAGGTTAAATAAAGGTAAACTTATTGCTTGTCTCCCTCGCCTTCAAAACCTTACACAATTTTGAAAATCTTAAAAGCGTTCATATAAGACGATTTGAACTGTAGCCGCTAGGCAATTGTGACGTCATAAAAGCACATGTTTCAATGAATAAAATGTGAAATTTTAGTAAAATTCTGATCAGTAATTCAAAAGTTATCCTGATTTCAACGAACCGAGTAAGCGTGAAATGTTACGCCTTACAGCGTATTTGACGATGTCGGAGTACATTTAACTTAAAAAATATGGTAGATCCCATCACACTTTTCAAGGAAAAATAATTTCAGTGAAATGCAAATAAAAAATACTTCAAAATGATATATAATGCATATAGTTAGCTTTTTAAATAAGGCAGATATTAACGCTTAAAGCGGAGATTAGCCCGTATTTCCCGAATTGTCCCCAGGTCCTTGCACGTCATAACAGGAAAATCTCCATGTTCAATTGATGTATGATCAATATACGAATCAATGTATTCTCGTGTGCATTACAATATCCACATTGAAACATTTTTGGCCTGCAATGGACGTATAATGGATTAGAATATGAGGCCGTGTTATCATTCAAATGTAAAGTCATGGTATTGGGTTGCAAGTTAATATCAGATTCAATGCAAAGTAATCATTTAATATCAGATGCGCGACCAGTCCAATAATGTAATTTCGGGTCATCAGTTCGATATCTAGCAGTTGTTCTAACGACACGGTATTACTAGGCTATCGTGTTATAAATACACACACATATAAATAAATCAAACTGGTACACGATATAAGCACGACTGCTCTTTCAATTGAGTATAAATGTTGATAAACTTACCCGGAAGCCAACACATACACGTTTAGACGATGCTATTTTCAGTTCAGTGTAAGAGTAAATGCCCGGATATCGAAGCTTTTTCGTGTAAAGTTTTAACCAAGCATGTAGTATCGGGTTATATTGCGTGTAGAATTTATCGATATCAGGGCCGCTACATGCCAGTGAATATGAAATGAGTCGTTGATTAAGGACATTTCGTAATTAGGTTCAAAGAGTCATTGAAACACTATTATTACTTACAAGGAGGGTTGCTGCAATCCACATATCCTGTTTCAACAGAAACCCCCAGACACCCTGAACCCACTGGTTGTTTCGTTCGTGTTCTGATTCTGTCCTTCCTTCCAGTCCCACATGTTTTAGAACATGACCCATATTGCCAAGAACCCCACGTGCTCCAATGACAACCTATAAAATCATTCATTTCTTCATTTAATTAATGCATATATGAGATATATTCCATGAATAAAAAATTCACAAGATAATGATTAACAATTTTGTCATGGGTCACATTAGCCCTGGTACATAGGTATATGTAGGTAATATATAGAGGTTATTTAATGGGAGGGATGGAATATGAATTTTATTCCGAGTACGTTTTGACCTAGTTTTTTACCTTTGACCTAGATAGAAATTTGACCTGATTTCTCATCATCCTTGACTCTCTCCTAAAATAACTATGTAAGCAGATTTAAGTTAGATCTTCTAGTTTGGTAGAAAACGTATACAGAATAAAAAACTTTCGAAAAAATCCAGCAAAAGCAATAATACAGATACGATCAGGATAAAATACCATTGTTGGTGCAAAAATCGAGGTGATCGGTGGTAACATGGCTGAGTTAGGATGGTCGGAACTTGGGATTTTTTTCAGATATTGCTTGAAAATCACACCATCTCTATGGTTTCATTGAATTAAAATATAAGCTGGTTCTATTTACGGAATAGGCTGACAACGGTAAAGTCAGATACCGTTGTCACAAATGGCGGACATAACCGTCGCTTCAACTCTAGATCTTTAATCACTTGGTCCTCGTTTTATGGGACCTTGTCGTAGCTAATTATGTGCATGCAATCAGCTCTTGTAATGACCTATTACTTGAAATCCCAATTTCGATCAAATGTGGTCGTAAATCGCCACAATATACCGTCTTCGATGTCGTCAATGACAACGGAATTTGAGTTTAAAATAATTAACAGAGACAACATTTTTCCAAATGGCTGCCTACTACCCCAAGTGTCATTATACACTATGTCATGCTTATGAGAATTCACATATCAAATAGGAACAAAAACGCTTCACTACTTTTTGAGTTATAGTAAAAAACGTAAAACAACACACATAAAAATGGTGGCCATTTTTCAAAATGGCTGCCTACTACCCCAAGTGTCATTATACACTGTTTAATGCTTATGAGAATTCACATGTTTAATGTTAATTTAATGTTTCGAATTTTGTCTACTGTTGTATTTACCAGGAACCTGTTTATTCAAAACTATATAATGATTATTTTAATCAAAATGAATATTTTCACAATTATCCTACCAGAAGAAGTCATGATCTACATGCTAGGGCTTACAAAACAAAAATAGGGTTATATTCAATCAAAGTACAGGGTCCAAGAATCTGGAATTCTATTTCAGATCATGTCAGATTTTTGCCTTCTTTACTTCAATTTAAAATGACTAGAAAGAAAAACTTAATTGCTGAAATATAATTATATATTGTCACCTCATCTACCTTTCCATCCATACATTTTTCCTAAACCGAAATAGCGTTAACACACATTGGCAGCCACAACCCACCACCACTAGCCATAAGTTAGATGCATACATATGCTATCAATATGTGTAGTTATTATTGAATTTTCATTTTTGTCACTAAAACAACTTCATACACTTGTTAAAGTGTCAGTTGATGTATAATTTATGTATCATAGTTTGACAATAAAGTATGTAACTAACTAAAAAAAACATATCAAATAGGAACAAAAACGCTTCACTACTTTTTGAGTTATAGAATTTTGAGAATTCACATATCAAATAGGAACAAAAACGCTTTTTTATTCAGTACTTTTTGAGTTATAGTGAAAAACGTAAAACAACACACATAAAAATGGTGGCCATTTTAATATTGCAGTTGTATATGTTTTACCTAAAATACTGTAACAGTTACACTAAAATGGCGGCCATTTTGAAACCGACTGCCATTTTAAAAACAATTACATTTGTCGGTTGATGGGGTGGGAAACGTGTCCGATTTATTCGTTCGAAAAGCAAGAAGTTTTGTTTTATTTGGTAGTGAACTTCGTACTGTTTCCTCGATCACCTGCAAATACGCTCATCACGTTCCAGTCCATTGAGGAAACATTCCATTGTTATTAATTGACAGCCACCCATCTAGTTTTTCTTAAATGTGGGGCTAACCAAAGAAAAAATTTGATTTTGAACAAAAATTCAGTGATTAACCCCACATAATTGAAAAACTAGAGCTTTGGGTGTATATTTGCGGCAATTTAATGTTTTCCCGATGTTTTGTGAATGTGATGAGCCTATTGGCAGGTGAAAACGTATCCAAAAATACGTTCACAGACGACAAAATGAAACTACACGTCCCTTATTTTTTAATAAAGATGGCAATTTTTGTAATGTAGTTCCTGGTGTACCTGACGAAAATATCTTACGCGTTTCCAACCCCTGTATTGTCTACAGGGTGGGTCAAAAAAACGTCCACATTTTTGTTTTTGGGACAACATTTTTAATATTACAGGAATATGTTTAAATCATACATCATTGGAATGACAATTCAATTTCCAACAAAATGATATATATTTAATTTCACATAAATGAGTATTTGTCTTGAAATAACATTTCGATTACCACGGGGGTCAAGATCATGATTTACCAATTGCTGAATACAGAATGCTAAGAACTGACCAGACAGATATAACCCCTATGTTAGCTTTGGGGATATAATTCTAATAATAGAAGATGAAAATTATTGATTTATATATCAAATAAAAGCAAATTGATTTACAAATACAATATTATTGAGTTCATTTACCATTTTGATAGGTATTGGCAATATAGCCTAAATAATGTAGTGAAGTCTGTTTCAAATAATTGAATATTTATTCATTTACAAGACATTTTGAAGATAATGTCTGTTTAAGGCTAAAATTATCATGAAATGGTCAATAATGATGTTGTACTTTTATAACTTAACTCTACCTACATTTTATATGGCAGAAAATACAATTATATATACAAGAAGAGGAAATAATGGAAATCTATTCCATATCATGGGTTACGGCAAAATTTCAACTGAGTTTCTTAACGAAACGTGTTTGAAGCAAATCTCAATGCATCTAACAATCTAACTTTATAACGAACTACAATACATAAAAATAGGTTCCATGATTTTTTAGAGCTGGGAAATGATTTACAAACATTAAAACTTAACTCTACATTTTTTTTCTTCCTATGTAAAAGTCTAAAAGTGTTGATTAAGCAATGCAATATTATGTAATAAGCTCAAAACATAATAGCAAAATCTTGTTTTCTACTGTTACTACCTCATGGTGCGAGAATTACAATGCAGTCATCAATAGCTGTTCATATTTTATGAATCATACATCATTTTGTTGGAAATTGAATTATCTTTCTAATGATATATAATTTGTTGATATTTCTAACATATCAGTAAAGTGATTACAAAAATAAAAATGTGGACGTTTTTTGGCCCACCCTGTATACTGAGAAAATTATTGTTAAAAAGCGGTCAACTTTGGGACACCCGATATCATGTCTTTATCTTTGTTTGGTGTGTCTGGTGAAGTTGATCCTGAGATGGTTGACCGTTTAAACCTAATTTATATTCGGAGACGGTTGCTGGGGAATTTGGTTGTCCACCTTGCCACAATAATAGCAGAGGTAACTCGACTGCTGTGGCACCACTGAAAACAATCATTACTTTTATTTCGGGAGTTCATAAATGTATTTAATAATGTTCCAAAGAGTCATACCATAAGTACAATGCTTCTGGAGTTACATTATCATTGTTTTTCTAGATACCGTTGTCAAATATTACCGTTGTCATCCCGATTTTACAGCACATTTAACCCACAGTTACCGTTGTCATTAACACAGTAACCGTTGTCCCGTATCATATTTTGATCGGTTACACTAAAAGTTTTATTTTGATGGTAGAACATTTTTAAATAAACGATTCGTATCAAGACAAGTGTACACTTTGATTGATTGATATAGCAATGAATTTAATATAGGTGCTCTATTAAGCATACAGCTCATGAAAATCGAATTGAAGCGACGGTTATGTCCGCCATTTGTGACAATGGTATCTGACTTTACCGTTGTCAGGCTATTCCGGTGTGTTGTTGGAGCAAATAATTTGGAACAAACACTATCTTGTCACAACATTCATAAGATTGTTAAGAGGCCAATATCCATTCGCGGAGCCGTCACAATAGTCCGGAAAACATAGTTCGGTTTGGATGACATACAACGTGATGCATGGTTGTGTTCTGACCTACCTGTGGGGATTATGCATTTCCCTTTGCACCTTATGTACCCTGGTTTACAGAAACAACCCTCTCTCCTGTGTTCAGCACACCAACGTAGTTCACTTTCAACACAGTGTGGCTCACAACCAGGACCATCATACAGGTACACTTCATTCAATCCGCACTGACGGGCTGAAAACAATGGTATGATATATATACCGAGACTGGAGGAAAATTTCCAATATAGATCGATGAAAGTGAGAAATGGACATATAGTTTGTTGGGGTGAACCGAAACTTACGACATTTAAAAATCTTCCGCCATTCTTCCATTATATCCTGGCCTTCACCTCGGCGTATGGCGACAAAAAACGCTTCCATAATATCACATTTTGCGTCAGGCGCTGCACAATAGTCCATTATACAGTTGTCCACCCATGTCTTAATTTCAGCTTTGGTCATCCTTAAACAGACATACATACTTCCTCTTTATTTTTGCTATATATGACATAACTTGGAGCTATCGTAATCAGTAAACCAAACTCACTTGATTTGCTGGCCTTTGTGAATAGTAAAATAGCAATAGTGACGAGCATGCACGATAATGAGTACCCCGCGCAAGTTTTTGATAATAACTTTGACCCGTGATTTGAACACTCTTCCCTATACTATTTGTTATAAAATTTAGCACACATAAACTAGAGACAATTGCCAACATTGAATTTTTTGTTTTTATTTTACTTTAATAACAATAAAAACACAAGCAACTGAACTAAGGGTGACATTAATGCTTTTTAACCAATTTGACGTCATAAAATCAAAATTAAGAATTGCTGATTTTAACAATTTTATTTACTTATCATTTATTTGAACAATTACACACTGTCAAAGTTGGCCTTTATGGTATTTTTGAATAGTCTATAGGTAGTCTTATTATGGAAATATTATACTTGCCCTAGATATCGAATTGTCCGGTTGTTGTCATGATTAAATCATAAACAGGGGCGTAGGAAGGTGTAAATTCAACACTACGCCAACATTTTCATGAAAAAGTACTTAACACCTATTTTATGCTTGTCAAACTTCATTTTTATGGTTATACCCCAAGTAAAAAAAATTCTAATTTAGATCTACTTTAGCCCTAGTACCGCTCTAATGCTGCTCATATCCTTCTAAATTACTGGGCGGAATTGGAACGGTATTAAAATCTGTTAATACCGACTAGCCGGTACTAGAGTTATATTGCAGCGGTGTTAAATCTGTTAATACCGACTAGTCGGTACTAGAGTTATATTACAGCGGTGTTAACTTATATTTAATCTTGATACAGACTGATATGTATATAAGAGCGGTATTACGTTATAAAAAATTAGGACATCTATACTAGATCGGTGTTAACTTTCCCGCTCTTTTTAAACCAAAAGAAAATGGCTGACAAAGAATGTTCAACTGTAAGAGATTTGGGTAAAATTATGATTTTATAACAATAGTATGAAAATGACCAATCAAATATAGATTCAGAAGTTACTGACATACTTGAACATTCTGCATGTCTATTTTGTGAGTGGTAAAATGTATGTATTGCTGTGTTATTCCAGTTTAGATGGGCAAATCTTCTTTTCTTTGTGAATTTATCAAGGCCAAATTTTAATTCTATTCATTATACATACAGTCAAAGTGGTCAAGCATAAATGTGTTGTGTATGACCAATTGTACCATGCAGTAAAAATATAAGGTATTTTATAAAGATTATGAAGATAAATACTGCTGGAGGCCTAGATGGTCTTTCAATAACTGTGAGCCTTCTTGCCTTCAGGACAATTCTGAATGGGTAAAACTACCAGTGATGTAACCTAATAATTGCTTATACATCATCTTACATACCCAGCCTAAAATGATCAATTTGCGTGATATTTCCAAAAATTGTGGTACTTTACGAGAGATTTCAAAATCTGGTAGTTTTTACGGGAGGTTTTTAAAAAAATTGGTAGTTTTCGCGATAGATTTGTAAAAATCGGGAGTTTTTTAGGTAAATTTTGAAACAACTGGAGTTTTTATGGTGAAATAAAACGGTACTTTTTTTCTAATAAAAGCAATAGTTTTTGCGGTAAATTCTGCAAAGAGTGGTAGTTTTGCGGGAGATTTTGACAAAATCTGTAGTTTTTGCGAGAGAATTTTGAAAAAACGTTGCACTTTGCATGTGAATTAATTAATACATGTAATAGGCCAGAACCAGATTTGGTCTTGAGCACTTCAGTACTACATCACAAAATAACAAACAGTCAGTTGGAGCTTTTAGGTATACTATAGTTAGAGCTACTGCATTTCTGTTGAAATACATCATATCAATATTAATTTTGATCAGAAGGCAAAAGGCTGAAACAGAAGCATCGTCATAAGATCTGTGTTACCAGCTGCTATATTCAATTATCCAAAATGATATTTAAATATGATATTGATTATTAAATGATAAATTTTAGAAGGATTTCATGGTTTATTCCCACTTCTCCCCTTCCCATTTTGCCCCTCATTTATTCCCATTTTGCCTCTTTCCCAATTCGCCCTTTTCCCATCTCCCTCCTTCCCATTTTGCCCCTTTGCCATTTCACCCCTTTCCCGTGTTGCCTCCTTCCCATATCGCCCCTTTCCCTTATCGCCCCTTCCTATTTCGCCCCTTCGAAATGGGAAGGGGGTAGAATGGGCCAGGGGCGAAATGGAAGAGGGCAAAATTGGAAAGGGGCAATTTGGGAAAGGGGCGAAATGGGAAGGGGCGAAATGGTAATAAATGAGGGGCAAAATGGGAAGGGGCAAAGTGGGAAGGGGCGAAATGGGAAGACACCGGATTTCATCTGTATTTGATCAGTATTGGAGCTGTACTAGAGCGGTATTAAATATCCCTGTCCAATACAGATGAATCGGTATTTGATCGGTACTTGGTCGGTATTGGAGTTTCACTAAAGCCATATTAAATAGCATAGTCCTATACCGGTGCATCGTTATTAGAGCTATTTAAAGATCTGATTCTAAAGGTATCGCCAAAATAAACCAATGTAGTATAAAACAAATGTATGTATAATGAAGAAATAAATATGAAATAAGAAAAATTGATATGTGTTTGTAATATTGGTGTTTACTTAAGATGAAGAATTGTCACTATCATTTTCATTCTTCAACAAATATAGTGTCACGTGACCTATGACGCGAGGCAGTCAATCCCAATTCATCGTAGACCATATTCATCGTCAAATGCCAATATTTCAACCTCGTCTTGCGATGCCATTTTAATTTGAAACATCTTGAATTTGGTGTCAAAATCAAGCTGGCCACGCCCACTTTATATATTATCAATGAATTATTTACTACGATTACTATATTCATTCAGGAGCCGTGTAACGTTGACCAATCGGAGGCACAAATGTTCCATATATGGAAGTTCATTATAATATTCGGTGTTTACTACTGCATTTCGCGTCATAGCAACACGAGCGTAACCAATCAAAATGCCGTATTACCAGGCGAGTTGAGAGTGACCCCTTACAGCTGTAGGTATGTGTAGTACAGGCAACATGGAGTCTCTCGCGATGTTGAAAACTTTCTTCAAGAACTTTCTCTAAAGAAATCAGCGATTCTAAATAAAGGTAGGATCTGCCATATCTTTCTGTACAAGCTATAACTTATCTTAATCGAATCCTAAAGTGTCAGATGAAACTATGAAGGATACGTTTAAAAACGAAGCGATTGATTTGACGATCTTATTTTGCAATTTGCAATGTTCAATTTATTGCAAGTCTACATGTATTTGACAAGAGATAACACCGAATGTATCTAAATGCTTGCTCAACCCACTCGAAAACCAGATACATATATTTTAAATAACTGCAGAAAACCTGTATCATGATTTTATATTTGATTTTCCGCGTCTTATTCCAACCTGGAGATCCTTGGTATCCTCAGTCGGCAACGGGACTTCATTCCAGAATTCACATTTTTTAGTTAATTCTCCACGCCTTTCAGTCATGTCTAAAGCCCCCATCGGGTCTTACTGGCACCCTTTCCACTCTTTAAATTGTGCTCAAATGATTCAAATGCCCTCAAATGACACCCTCTCGCCAATATATCCCTTCTTAGAACTAGAGTCAGAATTGGGAATCGGGAATCGCTGATGTTTGCCATATTGGAATATTTATTTATTTATTTATTATTTATTTGACAGTCACTTTTATAACAGTGGCACTCAAAGGTGCGTCAATATTACATATATGTAGTATACAAACAATACATTTTTTACTAAAATCCGTAGAGGAATATGAAACATAAGCTTTTAGTAAAATCATTAAAATAGGCTAAAATCACGCTGTGTTATGTTTCACATACACCTTTTGCAGAAATCTTTTTGTACAAACATCAAAATTCCAGCCATTGTCGTGCCCCCAAATGTTAAACACATCATCCCCAAGAATCCACTTTAATTTCATTTGTGGGGGGAAATTTAGGTACTGAGACACAACAGGAGCATCACATTTACTACTTAAATCATGTATAAATTCAGTTCTTTGTTTCTGGAAATGAGGACAGAGGAGGAAACGATGGATGGGATCATCTATTACATTTAAGTTACATAATTTACAAAAACCGTTACTTATTTTCCATCTTTTTCTGTCTTCCTCAAGGTTAAAGCAGCCTGTTCTGGCCAGAAACTTAAGTCGAGAGGTGTAAAAGTCTGTATGGTTCATGAGGTACTTCTCTTTATTTGTATTAAATTTCAAATTTTTATAGAGGTTCAAAGACTTTTTATCATTGATTGCTTCAATAAATTCAGATTTTCTTTGATCATTTGAGATTTTGAGAAATGAGTCGTACCAGTCTGCATTGTCGGATGAAATGCATCCGTCTAGACCATGGGCAGTTAATATCTTTGACACGGAATCAATATATGGCCATACTGAGCTTTTCTTTGCTTTAAAATTAGAGAACATATCACTGTAAATATCACCTAAGATCTTACAACTTTTAGCTCTATTTTTCAAATGAATAAAATAATCTATTTTACGTTTATCTATAACATTCATAATTGGTCTCCAACCTAGGTCACCAAGTAGAGCGTCCCTAGCTGGTGTACTTTTTATATTAAATATTGCTCTTCCTACATTATACTGATATGAGTTCATAGCATTCATTCTTGTATAATTGTCAAATGAAATAACTCCACATGCATGGAGAACTGCTGGTATGAAAACATTATTATGTAAAACATCCCCAAATTTGAATCTTTCTAGATTTGAGTGTTTATTAAGGGTGCTACAGATATAGAATCTGGTCTTTCGAGCTTTCTCTTTTATAAGTGTATTAAAGTGGTCTGAGTCTTTTAGAGTATTATTTAAAATAACACCTAGATACTTATATGTTTTGGTTTCTTTTAATGATAGTTGTCCAAGTTTCCATTGATTATTTGTATTAATTTTTCTACCAATTGGCATAATTTGAGATTTCTTAGGGTCAAATTTGAATCCCCAATATTTGGCAAATGAGTTAGAAACTTTCAGCATTTCAGTAAGTTGATCTTCAGATTCAGATATCAGAACTACATCATCAGCATATAAGAGTGCAGGGACTTTGTAGTTTTTAAATGGTATTCCTAGATTATGTTCTTTAAGTCTTTCTGTCAAATCATTTATAATTAAGAGAAATAGTGTTGGGGATAGAGCACAACCTTGTCTTATTCCAAACTCTGAATCAAACATGTCACTTTCGAAGTTACCAAAAAGAACTTTATTCCTTATTCCCTCATAAAGTTTTCTCAAAATCCGCCATGGCTTACCCTTAATACCTTTTTCCCACAATTTCTTAAAAAGAAGGTCCCTACTTACTACATCAAAGGCTTTTGAAATATCAAGAAATGCTAGAAAAGTTTTCAATTTAATGTCTTTCCTTAATGCGCAAAGTCCCTTCAAAGTAAAAATATGTACTGTAATATCTGTAATTGACTGCGAAGCGTAGTGGTCACGTGACTAGCGCGACACAGGAGAAATGGGGAATTTTGGCTTGGCAGTTTTTGGGTACTTTGATTGCAAATTTCAGGTAGTTATAAAGTATTGTGTTATAAAATATAATCGATAGACATTAATGAACATTTAAAGTACATGCTTATTAAGTTTTGTGGCCATTTGTACGCTTAGAATTTGAACTTTAAGATCGGTACTAGGTCGGTATTTGGTTAAAGCTGATTGGCTGACAGGACTTCTAAATTAGCTCATTTGCATGATAAATTTTAGAAGGAGTTCATCGGTATTAGTTCGGTATTAGACAACTACATTAGGTCGGTATAAGGTCGGTATATAAGGTCGGCATTCAATATGCAACGTTCATTGGATTTTTTCACTTGGGACCTTTCTAAAATGTTCGAATGTTTTTCATCATGTAAAATCACGATGGAAAGCTGATCTTTTAAATCTTCATTCGTACTGTTTATTTTCTCAAAATCTATAGATGACCAATTTCCAGATTATAATGATAGATTTTAATCACAAATGAGTCATTAAAACAATATGTCTAGTCTTTTAAAATAATTGAAATAGATACAAGTAATAATATCTACCGATTCCATCGTGTACCATGCAATACGACAATACAGCTATTTAGAAAATATCATGGTCAATTGATTTAAGGAAACATATCCGTGATCGAGGTCAACGTGACCAAGGGGTGTACTTTTTTGACATTTTGTGATAACTTTATCTCAAAATAAATTGTCTGGTGCCGAAAGTACTAATATTTTCTAAAAAGAATAATCTATTATCTTTCAAATAAAATTTAAAAAAATCAACGTAATAGCTTTTCTAGAACTGAAGTCATGCACTTTCAAAGAGAGGGAATTCAATGTGCTAACCCCCCTATCATACCAAACTAGTTCTTACCCGTTCTTGCCAGTCCTACGAAAACGTCGTAAAACGGGCTCAATCTGGCTGTGGTCGGGAAATATGTCAGAAATAATTAGCTTCTTCGTTCTTAAACAGTCTTCAATACGTCCATCTCGTTCGCAATTCGTTCAGGCCGCACCACGTCGGTGGGCAACGTAGTAGAACGCGTCCCTTAGTCTAGAAGGTCAACATGACCTGATTACAGAACGGTATGGTCGCCATCGAATTTTGAATCGATTCAAAATTCTAAAATCACATTCCCGTCTGAGAACGCTCAAAAAGTTCGTAAATAGACCTTAGAAAGTTGCAGCTACGTTCATTCCGTTCGCACACAGTATAAAACAAGTTTTGAAGAACGCAGTGGCAACTTGTCTGGTGTGATAGCTATATTTTTGCTAACTCGTTCATAACCATAAGCAGTGTTAAATACGTTCTTAATCAGTTTAAACCCGTTTGCAATTAGTTCTACCTCGTTCTCAACACGTCCTCGGACAGTTCAACTCGTTGTTAAAACGTCCCTAGTAGGATTGAAGTACGACGGTTCCGTTTGTAGTACGTCCAGCTCGTCGTTAGTACGTTGTCACTCGTTCTAATTGTAGAACGTGTGACGACCACGAGAACATTTTGAGCATTGTCTAGTTCTAGAGGATCTACCCGTTCGAGTACGTTCGATGAAGTTTGTAAATAGATCCCAAACGGTTCTTAGTAGGTCCAGTCCGTTCGTACACAGTTGAAGCCAGTTTTCGAGAACGTAGTGAGAACTAGTTTGGTGTGATAGTAGGGTTAATGATTGCTACCAAACAGAGCAATACTGATCACTTTGCAATTTCTAAAGTATTAGAAACAAAGTAACTATCAATATTAAATGGAGCATAAACTTTCGACTATCATAACTTTACGCCCCTACCCCCAATCACCTTGATCTTTACGCCAAAATGTGTTATTTATCTGTGGCGTACATTTGGCGTACATTGTTCCTACGCCACTGATAAATGTACTACAGTTGTAATGTCATATTCATTGAAACAATGTAGCAATTTGATAAAACATTGGCCACTGTGTATAATTTTGAAAGTACTGCCATTAACCATTATTAAACATATTACTAAATAAAAAAATTCCAATGTTGGAAATCACCTTTAGTTAACGTGTGCTAATTTTAATAACAAACATCACATGGTAGGCTGTTCGATTCACGGGTCAAAGTTATTATCAAAAACTTGTGTCGGGTACTAATTACAAATTTAAAAACCTCAAGATCTGCGTTTCACGTACCGTACTGGTTAAGACCAAAACGTATAATCTATTAACACCAACCGCCGAACACAAAATAGTTGGAAACTATATCAATATGTACTTTTTATGTAGCGCAGTGACATAATTACTATTTCGACCGATCATTCGTAAAAAATCCCCAGCATCCACAGAAACATTTATACATCGTTAAAGGGTTGGTATCAATATGGTGAACTTTTTGACCACATGTTTCTCTTAAACCAGTGATAAAAAATCTTTTATGAGTACTAGTATCTACAATTATTTTTGATGTTATGAGTATTGGCTATAAATTTTTTCAATTTTTCTTCAACATGTATTGTAATGACTTCAGTATGAATGGAATGTCTCTTGGCGTTCTGGTCCTGGATTGTGATATTGGTTCTCGATTGGAGGGGGGAGGGGGATGTTAGACATTGTTTCTTTTCACGTTAGATCATGGTTTTGGGATATATAGGATCTACTTTTCTTATGACAGATTTACACTTAGAGTTTGCTTTCCTTGTTGGGTTTTAGTTTTTAGTCACCCTTTCCATTTTGCAATTGCGCTTATATATTCTGAAAATTTTACACATCATCAATTTAATGATCATCTTTTGAATGGTAACAATTTAATTTGAAAAAAATATACTCTTCTCTATATTGTTTTAGAAAACACATCAGACAGTTCTTTTGTTCTTGGTATCATATGTTCGGAATGAAAATAAACATCTTTCCGAACCTCATTGAAACAAAACGACATATGCACAACGTGCTCAACAGTAAAGCCAGAATTACGTTTAAAAAAGTGAAATTTTGTGTGACATTATTATTGTATGTGCATTTTTCACCAATTATTGTCGTGTAAAATATCATTGTCTTCCCTTTCTGTATTATTTTGTCATTGTCAACATAACCAATAGCATTGGTTTATCGACTTGAAGATAACTTGTAAACCAGATCCGATAAACCAAAACCATTTCGTGTGATACTGTATCATACCGTATGATACTGTATGTATTACATACACACTATCATACGAATATTTTTATTAACCTACCATAAAATTCTATTGCTACCATTTTTTAACTTTTTCTGAACCTGAATTTTCAAATAATTTCTGTTTTTAATGTTAAGTCTCTCAATACTGTAATTGTACAAAGGAAATTTTGATTGATTTTAAAAAAGTATCTTGTTAATGAAATAAAAGGTTAACTTTAATTTTTATCCATTTTTGGGGTTTTTGTTTTAATTTTTTGAATACCATTTGCAATTTCAACCAAAATTTCCTTTGTATAACTATAATATTGAGAGGTCTAGGAAAATGTTGATTATGCTATTTTGTTCCACAAAACTTTGGAAAGATATTTTATTTCATTCTCAAGAATTAGTAGAAAGGAACAAAAACAATTGCTCTAAAAAAAAATTTAAACAAAAACAATTATAAAAAATATATTTAAATAATTTTCGCATTAAATTGTTGTCAATCAGTGACCATTACCTTAAGGACCGTGGTTTTTACAGAATGTTTTAAGTAATGGGTTTAAGAGAAAAACAATGCCGAATTCAGTTCACCATATTGACACCAATCCTTTAACGGCAGTGACTTCTTTACTTACGATACAGCAATGTCATTTACAAAGGAACCACAGAATTTGTTGGCAGCTGCCTTAGTTTGTGCGGGGCATGTTGGACCGGAGGTTCTGAGCATGTCGACGCAACTATAAAGCAATAAGCTATGATAATGGTATTTAAGTACTCATCACAACCTATAAGCATCATCGTATGAGCCATGAAGGAAAAGGGCACTTAGATTAGATATTATATCAATACAAATACTCCAAATGCTTCTAATTGTTTGTACATTTTAAATTGTATTTGTAAATTAGGACATGTATATACGCGTATACGAATGTTCTTTGCGTTTGATGAAATTTCTAGTCAGACAAACCATACTCACTCTGGGTCTTGGGGATCTGGGACTTTGTAACTGATACCAAGAAGTTTTCCTTTATTTGGGTTTCCTAATAAATCAGTGCCTGCTTTATCCGTGCAGTCATTCGGCGTATTGTCATCGTAATTCTTGCAAAGTCCGTCCACCTGTCCATAAAACGAGACGGAATTTATTTTCATACTTTTTTATTATGCGTTAGATCTTAGTAGTATGAGGTCATTCTATTTTTAATTAACTGGTTGACCTCTTTGATGATTATTTTTATCGCGGTGTTTTGTAATACATATGACCATCAAAAAAAAATAATTGAAAACCAACCATTTGCATCCACTGCCGCCCTAATGTAATATACACGTCACCGTAACCATGATGAATGTTAAACTGTATCCTTAGGGTGAGCGGGGTACTCTCAAATGTCGTCGTGTTGCCTACTACATTGGCAGTATACCATTGTGTGTTATAGGGTAGACTCTCTGGTGGCAATGGAATTCCATTTACCTAGATTTATATAGGTAAACAAATAAATACAAAATTGATCTAAATCCCAAGCTACATGATTATGATGGACGTAATTTCATAATGATGATGATCCACGTTTTATCAGTATCATATTATGTAACCGTGATTGTGATATACTTTACGTAAAATCCTGTAATATATCGTATTAATTAGAACTGACCACAGAATGGTTCTGAAACAATTTATTGCTTACTTTTACTTGTATTGATCCTGGTCCATCGAGTCTAATGATGTCCCCTGCTAAATGTATCTCCACATATTGTGTCACAGATAATGCTCTATTCCCCCATTGTCGATTCTTCACAAATACCTAAATATGTAGTATGTTGAATATATGACGTAAGTAGAACTACTTGCATTAACCCTATTCTACGAAATAGTATTTTTAATGTGTGTTTAAAGGGTGACGCATATCGTTTAGCAAATCGAACGCTCATTTTTGGTGTTGCTCACCGTTTAGTATAAAAGCCGCGATCCGGGATAATACTCAAGGGTATACCAGGTTTGAGGTCGTTGTGTAAACACCTCTGCCTGTAAACACCTATATGTTGCAATCATATATAGTATAGATCGTCACACATTTATAAAAGTGAGATTTTTATTTTGACAAATCAATTTCGCATTTTATGGGTGAGGTTTCAGGATCTTCTATTCATGTGTAATAGGTAAGATTGACATCTAGATTTACCCATCACGTATTAAAGATTCTCGCAATCTTTATCCAATCAGCGTTTGCGATGTGTACCGGCTCACGTATAAAAGGCGAATCCAACTCAAATCCATGCAGGGGTGTATGAGGTACTCGAATAGAAAAGACCTCATGAAATCTGGATTTATATGCACATGGTCAATGTTTACACATGTTTGGAGTTATTGAAGAAAATGTGATATGGGTGTGGTTCCGAATTTGAAGTCATTGCTGGAAAATATGATTTTAATACGTGAAATTATATCTATAAATACAGCACTAAAAATAACGGTACACATGAAGTACATGTATGATTGTGTTCAGAAATGTTTGAAACCCTTACGGAAAATTCTGTCTGCATTTTGTCACCATTGCTCTTTCTTCCCGCATTCTAGTGCTGTTTGAATGAATATATATTTAATTAATGTATTTCTAACTAAAATATATCACATTTTTTTTATAAACCACAAACATTTAGATCATAAAAAAATTATTCAATACTTGAGTGAGCACGATATGCAAGGGTTACTAAGTTGACACAGTAAATGACCACTGATATTGTGTTAGGCCATGCACACAGCGCACACCCCTCACTTTCATAGTGAAGTGACTAATTGGTTTATGTTTACGTTTTAATGTGTTTTGGGTTCCTTGTTACAGCAAGGGGGGGGGCAGTAAAGTAGACTAACATGTTTGCATGGCAAATTTTGATCGAATATGTGAGACACTTTAACACACAGCATGGCTTATATGAAATGTCCTACAAATGAAGCAGTTTTGATACAAGGATTTATATTGCTGGCTTATGTACTTGCATCCTCTGGATAATTCACTCTCTCAATTTTTTCTATAGAATCATAGTAAACGGATTATTTCATTTCCAACTTTTCTTCATCCTATATAGATTTCAACTGGCATTTACAAAACTCCCCTTATTTCTAAAAATGGACTGATCCAGTTGACTCGTTTGGAGCCGCCATGCCGTTTTTATACGGGAAACTTATCGTAACCCTTTAATTGAAAAACTATGCCCATGGTGTGGTGCTGTTGGTTTACGATTATACAAACTAACGAACTTTGTAAATTAAGGAAAAAAAAGAAACAAAGGAAAAGCAATTGCAGATATTTCATAATTTGAATTTCAAAAAGTATTCATGAATATCATTAGACTGTAAACATTCTGATACTCATAACATCTTTCTGTTTCACTTGAAACATCTCAGGGCTGAGAAGAAATGAGATGTCATGGTTTATCATGATGTATTAAGAACCTTATTATCAAGTAAGTGACTCCAAAACTCAAAAATTAATCATGCTAATTTTTTATAACTATTAATAATGGCATTTAGAATACCTTAAAGAAGCCTATCGTGTCTTCCACTAGAGTGTATTTACAAACACCCTGGAAGTTGTACTCCAGGTCATCAAATGAGTGATAGTGGACGTCACCCCATCCCCAACATCGTTTTGGTTTTTCCCACGTCTCTATGAAATACATGAATTTTGTCTTGAGTTTTATGTTATATCTGTAATATACCCTTAGTTCGTTCATCATATAACTATATTATTTCGATTTTTACTAATTTAACTTAAAATATTGTTGAATAATTAAAGGCACTTTAAACAGAAGACAATGTGCCATAATAATTTGAAAATAAAAATGGCGTTTAGTAAATTTCCCTATTAGCAAGTCGTAAAAATAGACAGTTTCTTTCAAACATATATAATAACAATCTTTACTCGCACATTCCTTTTTGTCACATTTCCTAATGACATAATCTGTGCTTTGCCCAACACAATCCCTTCCCCCATCATGGGCAGGTTTCTTTTTCCGGTATCTTAGGCAGTACTTGAAACAACATTCGTCACAACAGGTGCACTTTGTATCTTTACTCCAGGGTCCCCAGACACAGTCCACTGGTTCTAAATCTTAAAATGAAATACCATCATTTGAACTTAATCATTGAAGCAAAGCAAAGTCTCCTGGACATCTATCACTATAAAAATGAGGATAACTTGTCTCGGGGACAGAGGCAACCAGAAAATCTAAGTACGCTTGGACATGAACATCTAGAAAATTAAGAATAATTAATAGTTTGTCTCGGGGACATAATTACCTAGAAGTTATAGTCTCCTGAACGTGTATTAATATTAAAGAATTATCTCAGGAAAACAAGGGCACGAATACGCGAAGACAATTTGAGTTCCATTTGATGTAAAATATGGTGAAAGAAAAACAAAAATAGGAAGGAGTGCGACTCGAACCACACCATAAGCAACAACCAGAAGACTATCCTAACCACTATACCAACGGTGATTGGATGGATGCGGTGTTTTTTAATTCGTAAATATGATATCAAATAAGTATGTACGACATCTAGATACGTTGTCAACGTATATATAGTCCGTCAGCATGTATAGTCCGGGGTTATATTGTATATATCAATACAGTAAATATAGTCCGGTTAAGACAATACATCCTAGGCTCCTAGGATGTGTGGTCCCCTGGACCATATATTCAGGGAGATTATATTTACTCTCACATCGGTTAAATGTTATTCATGTTAATATAACATTTTTTAATTAAATCCTATTTGAGAGGATTCCCCAAATTATTTCACATTTATATACAAAATTAGCTCTTACTGGGGTATAATAAGCTTTCTATGATAATGCGAATGATTCGGCATATTATTATTAATATATGATAATAAAATTGCATATTGCTTTCAAGTAATAAGCTCAAAAACGGCAATCTTATTGTAATTGAATTAAAGCATCCCTCATTAATTACACTGGACGAAACGTTCAAAAAATTGCCTAAAGTAGGAGTCAATGTAACAGCTCCCACTCGGTCAATATTTTATCAATTTCTGTTTTCTTTACATGAAAGATGAAATATTCACTACAAATGTTTAAGTAAGGATCCATATGATATATACACAGCAACGTGCTGTATTAAGGCTTTGAAATGGGGTGAAAATCACTTTGATAGTTATATACAACCTTTAATAAATAAAATATTAATTTAATAGACAAATTATGACACACGTTATATATAAAGTATAATATAATTTATTATATCATTGGAATGTCTCTCGCTCTCTCATTGGATAAGAACCGATCACATGATTAAAAATATGAGGGTGTATTTCCCTGTCTCCTGCAGTCTTCAGCTGCAGCCTCGTTTTCAACTGTATATACCACGGAGTATATACCACGGAGTATATTCCACGGTAGAAAGTCCCGGATGTTCAGAACATTAGCAGACAATAACAATTTTTGTTATGACGTCATAACAAAATTGTAAAACATTCTTGGACACTGCTTATATTTGTAGAATGATCATGGATACTCATAAGAACGGTGTATCCGATGCCATGCTGTTGATGTTTATAACCAAGTGATGTCACAATAGCGAGATCAATAGTGCAAGAAAACAGGCAAATAGTTCCTTCATGGAACGAAGCATGAAACTTTCCACATATCATCAGAATACCATTCCCTTTGATTTAAGAGCCAGAGCCATTTTTGTGGTCCACTAGAATGATCAAAAAATAGTAAGTACCCCCTCCCACCAAATCCCATGGGGGTGGGGAGATATAGGAATATTTTTTTCATAAAGAAATGTCTTTGAATATGGTCATACTACAGTTTTAGTGTGCTATTTTCATGGTAAAGAAATTTTGCAAACATACCAAGATGATTTATCATTGATTTCCATCATTTTTAAAGACTAATCATGGGCGACGCCCACTTTTCATACCTTGAACATTTAGATTATTAAATCTCTATCATGGGTTGAACAAATGAATGTAATTCAGTTTTCTGGATAACACCAGATACCTTTTTGATGTTAGGTGCTATAATTAATCTTAGCATTTGACTTTTTAAAGGCTTACACCATAGCACAACCCTGTTTAGAAGAAGAAAGCAAGCAACAAATGTCCCAGATCTACAACATGTATCCACTATTCTATGTACATGTATGTCGAGTCTCTATTTTCTCCTGAAGAGAACCTATGCTACAGATACAACTTTCCAGAATTTAGATGATGATGTGCTTAAACAGTTTGATGAATGGTGTGCTGACCCAGTGCCTAAACAGTTTGATGAAAGGTGTGCTGACCAACAGAATGTACCAGTCTTTAAGTTTTGGTTTCCGATTATTTGAATCGAAATACTGTGCCTTAACTAAGTGTGGGCTATCAGAGAGGGAAATTTCCCTCTTTATCTCCAGTCAATTAGCAATCTTATCACCTGGTTTTTTGTTTTTTGACCTTGTCAATATGCTTGCTAAGTACCAGTTCAGTATATCATCAGAACTCAAAGTTCAAAAATGGATAGCTTTTGGAAAAGTAAAAAATTAGAGATATCTCACTTCTCATGAAATTGCAGCTGCCCTTTGACATGGTAGGACTATGTTTCTCCCCTTATTTCATGCCCCAACAGGTTCAGACACTATATCTGGATTCCAATCATTGAACGTTTTGTTGTGATTTTATACAATAGAGACAACAATGAAATAACTGTAAATGCTGCAAGACAAGAAATGTTCACAAAGAAAACAACTCAAATTGAGAACATCCCACCATAAGTTGGTTCCAGACAATTATACCTATGTCAGTCCTCGCTTCACCCTCACAATTGAGTTGGGAATCCATTACCACAAAGGCTTGGAAAATAATTTGGGTGCCAGTGTAGAAAACATTGCCCAAGCTTCAGATGCATGCCAAATGCTAGTAAAATGCAGCTGCAAACAACAGTGCTCAACAAAAAGATGCAAGTGCTTTTTTGTCATTCTAGTGAACCACAAAAATGGCTCTGGCTCTTAAATCAAAGGGAATGGTGTCCTGATGAGTTGAAAAACTGCAAATGTGCCCTCCCATCAAATACTGGGGGGAGGGGGAGGGAAGTATTTTTTTGTTGATTTTTTTAAATATGATCTATATTCATTTTTAGTATGTTATTTTATTTTCAGTGTTTAAAAACAATTTTCAAGTTTGCATCCGTATATCTCATGGATATTCATTATTAAAGCCTGACCAAGGGCGACACCCACTTTATCAACATGTTAATATACAAGTTAATGAGTGTTCCATTATGAATAGGAAAATTACCTAATAAGGCTGAATAAAATTGATAAGATAAGTCAGTTATTTATGTTAAGATGATAAATGCTTTAAGTAGGTCAATTGAAAGGCCACACCCCTTTTAGACATAAAGATATAATAACATATAAATCACAATTAATGATACATTATTTTGACTTTTAATGAGAGCACTTTGACTAATTGATACAAGTTACCTTATTAGGTATCTTAACTGCAGTTCAAATATTCTATTTTGTGCATTTAAGCACTTCAACACTCTATTATCATTATCACTGAGCTAGGTGTCATGTCCATTACAATCCCTGCATTTTACTAGCATTTGGCATGCATCTGAAGCTTGGGGCAATGTTTTCTACACTGGCACCCAAATCATTTTCCCAGCCTTTGCTGGTGTAGTGTCTGAACCTGTGGGAGCATGAAATAAGGGGAGACGCAATTTCATGGGAAGTGAGATATTTCTAATTTTTTACTTTTCCAAAAGCTATCCATTTTTGAACTTTGAGTTCTGATGATATACTGAACTGGTACTCAGCAAGTATATTGACAAGGTCAAAAAACAAAAAACCAGGTGACAAGCTTGCTAATTGACTGGAGATAAAGAGGGAAATTTCCCTCTCTAGTAGCCTACACTTAGTTAAGGCACAGTATTTCGATTCAAATAATCTGAAAGCAAAACTTAAAGACTGGTACATTTTGTTGGTCAGCACACCTTTCATCAAACTGTTTATCACTTCATTATCTAGATTCTGGACAGCTGTATATGTAGTATACGCTCTCTTGAGAATTTAGAGACTGCAGGCTGTGACTGTGGCGGCCTTTCTGGTTCCGGTTCAACCCATGAAAGAGGTTTAATAGCCTAAATGTTCAGCATATGAAAAGTGGGCGTCGCCCATGACTAGTCTTTAACAACTATGAAAATCAAAGAGAAACCATCTGGAAATAAAGAGGAAAATTCTCCTGTCCTATTAGCCCTCACATAGTCAAGGCACAGTATTTCAATTTAAATAATCAGAAACCAAAGCTTGAAGACTGGTACATTCTGTTGGTCAGCACACCATTCATCAAACTGTTTAGGCACTTGGTCAGCACACCATTCATCAAACTGTTTAAGCACATCATCATCAAAATTCTGGACAGTTGTGTCTGTAGCATAGGTTCTCTTCAGGAGAGTACAGAGACTCGACATACATGTACATAGAATAGTGGATACATGTTGTAGATCTGGGACATTTGTTGCTTGCTTTCTTCTAAACAGGGGTGTGATATGGTCTAAGCCTTTAAGAAGTCAAATGCAAAGATTAATTATAGCACCTTACATCAAAAAGGTATCTGGTGTCATCCAGAAAACTGAATTACATTTATTTGTTCAACCCATGATAGAGATTTAATAACCTAAATGTTCAAGGTATGAAAAGTGGGCGTCGCCCATGATTAGTCTTTAACAATGATGAAAATTGATGATAAATCATCTTGTTATGTTTGCAAAATTTCTTAACCATGAAAATAGCACTCTAAAACTGTAGTATGACCATATTCAAAGAAATTTTTTTATGAAAAAAATATTTCGATATCTCCCCACCCCCATGGGATTTGGTGGGAGGGGGTACTTACTATTTTTTGATCATTCTAGTGGACCACAAAAATGGCTCTGGCTCTTAAATCAAAGGGAATAGTATTCTGATGATATGTGGAAAGTTTCACGCTTCGTTCCATGAAGGAACTATTTTTGCACTATTGATCTCGCTACAAGTAAACTCATCTTGCACGTTTGACGCGGTTTAAAGAAATACACACCTAATTTGTATATTTTCTAAGTAAAATGAGAACATTCAAATGATATAATAAATCAAATATTCCATTATATTTTCGGTGAATTCACCTCAATAGAATGGAACATTTGGTATACAATATAATATAATATAATATGTTATATATAATATCTTTTTAACCCTAATGTGTGAATTAATATTACGTAATATTGTTTTTATTTAATTGCTTTGAAGCGCTTCAGTTCAGTTTTTATAAACGTTGAAAAAGTCTCCAGATGTGATCCGAAACGTCCTATAAAGTAAAAATAACGGTTGTGAAAAGAAGAAAAATAGTTTTGTGATTTAATAATCCAACCTGAAGAACATTTCTTTTATAATGGCTATCGCGAGAACTCTACGTTGGCCTTATAATGCAGAAAACTGCATTTTTGTAGCTGCAGGTTGAGAAAAGCTATTTCAGTTGTTATTTGAATGTGAGAGGCCCGATCAGAAAGTAAGTAATCAACTTGGTCTCGTTTAATAGGTTATTATTTTCTACATCATCTGTGAAAATGTCAATGTGATTGAATAAAGTATGAAAAAATGAGAGCACTTGATTACTTACTTTCTGATTGGGCGTCGTATAGTTTATATATATACAAGTAGTTACTATATGTATATAAATGCGTTTGTACAACATGCCTTGTATATATTGATATACAATTATAAATTAGAAGAATCACCTTTGCATTCTATTAGTGATCCATTCCATCGTCCACCATTTAGACATTTGACAACCCTGCTGCCTGCAATTTGCTCGTATCTTTCCTCACATTCGAAGACCGTGGAATCCCCCGCACGATTGCCTGCTAGACGACCAGCAACCACCCTGGCGTTTTTAGGTAAAACCAGGTCAGGGCATTTCTTTTTGCTTTCTAGAGAGTAAAGTATATTACAACATGGTATTATCTGATCAGTAAAATCGATGATATATAAATAAAGTATTTTATTTAAGTAATTAATTCAATTTACAATATCCTGATTTTAAGTGATAAATAACCTTGTTATTTGGATTTAGAGAGGAAATATGGTAAAGAGGGTAGCACCCTCAGCTCTGATTATACACTAAAGAGTGCCAATAACAAGGTATTGCAAAAAAGCAGCATCCTAAGAATTTGAAAAAAAATTCTTGTTTCTCAAAAGTAGTCATTATAGATAGTCAACATGACAGCATTTTATTTCCAGCAATGGGCACAGGAAAATAATCTACACAGTGACACTAGAGAAGCATTGATTAATGAAGGTATTGACATTTGTGATATTGCTGCTCTCAAATTAGGCAGATTGGGGCTTGGGAGGGCCTTTGGGCACTGGGATTACCTCACAGGCAAAACCACAGGTGGAGTTCAGGATCAGGCAGCACTTGGATCAGAGCGTGATATCAAACCTGTAACAACATCCATGGTAGCCAGGGGGAGTGCGATGGGTGCGATCGCAACCCCCCCCCCCCTTTACCAATACAAATAAAACCATTAGATAGAAGAAGAAAAGAGCTTTAAAGGCTTTTTATTTGAAGCTTCTAGCTCAATTTTGAAGGAAGTTGCAGCAATTTTTGTAAAATTCAAAACAAATCTGAAAACCGAAATTTTTCTAGCGAACGCACCCCCTGACTGAAAGCTGGCCACGCCTTTCACATCAGACCTTGCAAGAGACAAAGTTTTGGTTGGACAAATTAGCCAAGTCGGATGACTTGTCAGCGGATATTTTGTCAACTGATAATTTGTCAGCACATGATTAATGTTGGAGACAAAGCACAAACCAACACGGTGACACCCATGATACTAGGAAGGTTAAGATTAACGTAAACATATACGTATACCTATACCTATACATATCCGTAGGTTTGCATTGCTGAGTGCACTAACAAACTACGTATAGGTATAGGTAAGTGGGCTATTTACGTTAAGTTTAACCTCCCTACTATATGATGACGCATGCAGAAAGAAACAAATGAAAATATGCTGACCTGGGGAGAAGATGATGAAGATGAAATTTTGTTTAGTCAAGAATCCTACCACGTGGTGCCCCCCCCCCCATATTCAGCTTAGTGACCATTCTTCTAATGTTAAACTCACAACGCAAAATGCGAAATCTCAGAGAGGAAACACGAATATCCCGATATGCCGTCAATGGAATAGTGCATGAGGCTGCAGGTATGGCAGTTTATAAAAATACACACATGGAAAATGTGCAGAAAATAATTTTGAAGAAGCCTATCCACAATATTTTCATGCAGCACTTGCAAAATAGGGACACGTCACCAGTCCTTTAACAGATACTTTGGAATTGCAGGAATACGAATAAGCAGGAATTGTGATAGTGATAAAGAATTGATATTGAATGGTATTGAATTTGGCTTTCAACTATTAGACAAGGAATTTGATTCACATAATAAACATGAAAGTGATTGTGATAATTATCGTATATCTACTAACCCTACCGTCAAACCAAATGTGGAAATTCTAGAATCATTATAACATCTAAAAAGTCAGATAGTGAGTAGCTTTGGTTCCATGCCTGAACAAAATAGTACGGATATTCGTTTGATTCACGACGCTGGAGTAAATCATATGTCTACTCCCCAATATTTCGCTTATAATATGCATTTGGCAGCAATAAAAGATTTTCTCGAATGTTTCTAGAATAACACGTGCAGTGGGCCGCAGGATGAAGCGCATAGAAGGAGATTACAGTGCACCTCAATGATTTTCTAGTCATAAATGCAGACAAGCAATTAACACTCAGCTATCATCATTACAGGATTAAGGCTTCGCGATAAATTGGAAAAAAATTGTCCCAACCACACAGTGTTTAACGTTTCTAGGGATCAAAATTGACTGTTCAGCAAGTATTAAGAGAGCCACTAAGCCACTATGGTGTTATAAACGAATTATAGTGTATACAGATAAAAAATGCAACTCGATCTGTTTCGGATAGATAAACGTCTAGCTAGGAATAAATGTAGTATAGCTTCCAATATTTTGAGTGACATATTATTGAAATCAGTGGACTATGATTTTATCTGACAGCAAAAAGAATTACTAGTGAAAACAATGTAACAGCTGATGCCTTGAGCCCTTTTACAGATCGTAATATGGCTGCATCGTGGCTGACCGAGGGAAAAGTCCCTATGACGTCTGCGAACGAGCAGTGACAGCTGCAGAGACAGCAAACAATGTGTTAGGGCCAGCTCCCCGACACCTAAATGAAATTGCTACAACTTAAACTAAAGGAAAACACCCCCAGGTGGGAGGAGACTTTGGGAGGATGGTCCACCAAATCAGACAGATTTGGCGGAAACTGAGTAAAGCAATGTGACCCGGACAACGAGAAGGAAAACGATTACAACACCTGACACACAAGTAGAGCCAAGGGCAAGATGTGACAGTTGTGGTGGACTTTTCAAGAACATCCGAGGAATAACCATACACAAGGGCAAGATGAATATATAAACACAGATGCCAAATGGGTAGGGTGACTAAAAACTTTAAAGAAACCCAACAAGAAAAGCAAACTCTAAGTGTAAACCCTTTATATCCCAAAACCATGATCTAACGTGAAAAGAAACATTGTCTAACATCCCCCTCCCCCTCCAATCGAGAACCAATATCACAATCCAGGACCAGAACACCAAGGGACATTTCATTCATACTGAAGTCATTACAATACATGTTGAAGAAAAATTGAGAAAATTTATAGCCAATACTCATAACATCAAAAATAGTTGTACATACCAGTACTCATAAAAGATAGAGTATTCGGTCTCAAATGATGTGGGATAGATAAAATCCAGTCTCGAAGTCCATAAGCAATTCAAAGGGTCAACATCCGTTCGCAAAGCCGTCACCATAATCCATAAACACAATAATTCACAATGGTCATCAGGAGAAAACTATGGCTGGTTTCGATCCCTATTTCTCAACCATTAATGCCATAGCCGGGATCCACCTCAAAAGGCGCCAAGTGAAACAATTGTGAGTTCATTGCCAATTTATTATATCATTCCTACATCCTTCAGCATCTCAAGTGGTAAAACTTGAAATTTCAAAATTAATGACTTGTATTTTTCAGCATTAAGCCCAGAAAGTATTTCTTAAGTTTTTACAAGTATAACCTTGACCTAACAGCTTGATCACTAAAATATGGTGTCTTGATTTGAAATCTAGATATTTCGAACACGCCCTGCTATATCTAATAAGCTGGGATACATAAACCCCATATGCTGGGTTAAGTGGAATATTACTATCCAAATGTGGAACATTAACAATGTCAAAATTAAAGTCATCTCTTTTGTCATATAATTTACAATATATACTGTTGTCTCGTTCAATGTTAATAAGAAGATCAAGACAAGGTGCACTCATATCAGATTCATTAGTCTTTTTCAATTCTAGCTCAGCAGGATATATCTCACCTACAAAGTCTTTAAATTTTGGGTTGTCTAAACTTAACAAGTCATCAATATATATATATACCTTATTAAATAACTTTGCAATATGAAATTTACTTTTATCTTTCATCATCCTTTGTAAAGATTTATACTCATACGAGAATAGAAAAAGGTCTGCTAAAAGGGGAGCACAATCTGTACCCATTGGTATACTTACATTCTGACGTAAAATTGTATTTCCAAACTTAACAAATATATTATCAATAAGAAAGCCTAACAACTCACAGAATTGTACTACAGTGAAAGAAATATACTTATCATATTGTTCACTAGAAAAGAAAGCCCTATTTGAATTAGTTAACATATTTAAATTTACTACCCGTCATTATCTTTTTAATGATTCCAAATATTTCATCTTTTAACTTAAGTCATGAGGAATTGATGTGGAAAGTGTAGAAAAATCCCACGTTGAAATACATTTAACTTTTGAATAAATCGGGTCATTAAATAACTTTGCAATATGAAATTATGATTCATACCACTTGACCAGCTCATAAAAGCAGTACTGACCCACTGTGTCCCAGATGAAGTCATCAGTCTCCTAATGCATCATTTTGACACTCTTAAGATGCGGTTTATAGTAGAAGACTTTACCACCAAATGGCAAGGACTAGAGAAGGGCACAGTCTCAGTGGTGCTGTTTGTGGCAGCCATGAATGTCATCCTCATTGCAGCAGAGAAAGAATGTAGAGGCCCAGTTACAGACTCAGGAGAACGCCATCCTCCCTGTCGAGCATTTATGGATGACATTACAGTCATGACACCAACCATGACTTGAACAAGATGGGTCTTACAGGGGCTTGATAAAAAGAATGAAGATCAAACCGGCCAAATCCAGAAGCCTCGTTATCATCAAGGGGAAGGTAGCAACAAACATTCAATATCCAGGGAGAAAGAATTCCTACTGTCAGTGAACAGCCATTAAATGTCTTTGGAAACACTATGATGATTCCTTGAACGACATCAACAATACGAACAATGTTGTGTGTGAACTCAAGATTGATTGATTGACCACAGTGATTGACAAATGCCAGCTCCAGGGCAAGTTCAAGGCATGGGCGTTCCAGCATGGAATTATCTCAAGACTACAATGGCCGTTTCTGCTTTATGAACAAATGGAGAGAGTGTCGTCAAGGTTCCTTAGGAAATGGCTAGGTGTACCACCTTCATTCAGCAGAGGTATTCTATTCAGTTAATCTCAAAAGCTTAGTCTCCCAATTCAGTACTTGAAGAGTACAAGGCGGCCAAAGTGAGAGCAGTAACCACTCTACGCTCTTAAAAGGACAAACAATATCGAGCGGGAGGGGATGGAATCCTCAGCAGGCAATAGGTATTGCTTAAGGCCAACCCCGGCATAAGGACCTAGTAGGTCTAGTTTGCAAAGGCAGGATGGGCCCTGGAAACTATGGCACCTCCAGGTTGAAA